AGGCAAATGATTGAAGAGGAATTATCAGAACAGCAAGTTGAGATAATGCAAAGGACCACCGAGCGAGAATATGTGAACTTTCTGAAAATGCAATGCTTTCCTGATGAGAAAAATTATAAAGAAGTGAATTCCGATGGAGAAGAGTGCTGCTCAGAATCAGGAGATAGTGATACAAAGGTAATTTATAAAAAAATGAAAATGCTGAAAATTTCTTTCAAAATGAGCCCAAAACCACCCGAAAATGTTGAAAATGAAGCGAGTTATAGGCAATTGAATTTTTTTCTAAAATTTATATTTTCAAAAAGTTAAATTTGATCATAACTTTTTTCGTTTGTACCGGATTTTATTAATTTTTTGTGTGTTGCGTTTGTCTTGGTGAGAGCTTCAAAATGAGCTCTCACAGGCCTAGGCTCCGCCTATTTTAGGATTAGGCTCCGCCCACTTTTAGGTCCACCACGGATACAGGAAATGTAGGCGGAGCCTAGGCGTGTGGGGGCTTATTTTAAAGCAAAACAAACAGCGAACTTAAATTCAGTGTAGGAAAAGCTTCAAAATGAGCCCCCACACGACTAGGGTCCGACCATTTTGGGCTCTTCGTGGTGGGACTCAAAAGGGGCGGATCTAGGCATAGAATGGGCGGAGGCTAGGCGTGTGGGGGCTCATTTTGAAGCTCTTTTCGAGTTAAAATCTAATTCGTTGTTTTTTTTTCAAGAAAATCCTTTTAAAACGTTGAAAATGCCTAAAAAATAAAAAATAAAAAAATAGTTTGGATAACATTTTTTTTAGGTTTTTCAACTTTTCTTGAGCCTTTTTCGGTTTTTTTTTGGAAATTTTTAGCAAAACAGAACACAAATTTGACTTCAGCGTGAAAAGAGCTTTAAAATAAGCCCCCATACGGCTAGGCTCCGTCCACTTTTGGTTTTTCGTGGTGGGACCCAAAAGTGGGCGGGGCTTTGCTGAAAGCGGGCGAAGCCTAGGTGTGTGGCGGCTCATTTTGAAGCTCTCGACTTCACAAATTTGAAAAACAAAACACTTTTCAAATCCGATGAGAAATAAAAAAGTTGCGGTCAAAACTATTTTTTCGACTTTTTTGAAAATTCCAAAAAATCTGAAATCGCCCATAACTCGCTTCAATTTCAGCCGATTTTGTCGATTTTTAGCTTAAAATGTGCGGAATTTTCCCTTTTTTTTTTGAAAATCTAATTTTAGGCAATCTGAAATTTACAGAGGCGTCGTAAGGGAAAGAAGTCTCCGACCAAGAAGAGGATTCTAGGAAAGACCCGTGCCGCCAAAAAAGCTGAAATGTACGACGGAATGTCTAAGGAAGAAATTCGTCAAGTTAGAAGTGGACGTCATCCGGTCAAGAAAGCTTCGAAAATTGGCGGAAAAAAACGCGAAAACTCGGAAATTTCCGAGGAGGATTCTTCCACGTGCCCATCGTCCCCTTTAGAATCCGAATACTCGAAGTATAAGAACATTGGAGTCCAGATTCTTCATTAATTGAAAAATCTAAAAATATTGCTTTTAAATGATATACAACACACCTCCCTCCTCCCAACCCCAACCCCAACTTTTTTCAAAAAACTTTTTTTTCAGATTTTAAATTTTTTTATTTTTCTTAATTTCCCCCATAACTCTCCTGAAACAGTTTCAAACTCATTCAAACAACAATATTCACACTCAGCTAGTTGTGCGCTTCAAAATGAGCTCCCACACGCCTAGGCTCCGCCTACTTTTGAGTCCCACCACGAAAACCGCAAAGTTTGAGGAGCATAGCCGTATTTGAGCTCGTTTCGAAGCTCTTTTCACACTGAATTTGAATTTCGTATTCATTTCTGTTATTGTCACAAAAAATTCAGCATTACCCTACCTCATTCCAGAACCCTAGAATCCCTAGACTCCTCCCCTTCCCCCTTCTCTCTCTCTCTCTCTCTCTCTCTCTTATTTCGTTCCTAACTTTTTGATTTGTTGTTTTATTAGCTTGATTTAGACACCATGCTACTCAACAAGTCCAGAGCTTCAAAATGAGCCCCCACACGTCTAGGTTCCGCCTACTTTAGGATAGGCTCCGCCCACTTTTGGGTCCCACCATGAAAACCGCCAAAGTGGGCGGAGCCTAGGCTTGTTTAGGCTCATTTTGAAGATCTCGATGAGCCAAATCTAAATTTTCAGGTGTCCTTCCCTGATTTTTTCGGCATATATCGATTTTTGGCACATATAGATTTTTTCAAAAATCGAAAAATTTCGAAAAATTTTCTGAACATTTTTTTTTTAATTTTTGAATTTTTTCCCGATCTTTTTTCCTTCTTCATTTAAGTTCTTCCAAGTTTTTCATCTCACGATCATATTAGGCTCCGCCCACATATTGCCCACCCCCAAATCGGAGTCAATTTCCAAATCAGTTCCCCCCAAACCAAAAATTCCCAGTGTAGTTTTCTTTAAATTTTTTTTTCTCAAATCTCACGTCTCCAATCCAGAATTACTTATTTTCATCGTATTTCCCACGTTCCTAGCTTCAAAATGAGCCCCCACACGCATAGGCTCCGCCCATGTTAAGCTAAGCCCCGCCCACTTTTAGGTCCCGTCACGAAAACCCCCAAAGTGGGCGGAGCCTAGTCGTGTTTAGGCTCATTTTGAAGCTCTTTTCATGCTGAATCCAAATTCAATATTAATTTTGTCAAAAGTCCCCAAAAAAATTGAAAATTCCTGAAAAACCCAAAAAAAAAGTGATGCCCAAAAATGATTCCCAAAATTTTTGATATTTATTTTACCTCCAATTTTTCCCCCAACTACTCTCAAACCCCTCGTTCTATGCATATTTTCAGCAAATTCGCTCTATTGAGAATCCTATATTTTTGAAATAGCGAGATTCTCAATAGAGCGAAATAGCAATTTTTTCAAAAAAATTTTTTTTGTTCTAGTTGAAATTTCTTTGTCCCAATTATCTTCCCCTCTAATTACCCAATTAAAAAAATTTGGCGCCAAAAATTTTTTCGAATTTTTGAAAAATTTTGAAAATTCAAAAATTTCAATTTTGGCGCCATTTTTTTTCAAATTTTTAATCTGAATTTGTTTCAAAGAAAATCCAGCCAACCGAATTTTTTTTGACCCCGAAGTTGTTATGTTGTAATGTCCCCCCGATTTTTTTTGGCGGTTGACTGGAAATTTAATTTAATAAAATTAATTTTATCGATTTTTTTCAATTTTAGGACATTTGGAGACACAGAAACACAGACAGAAATTGAAAAACATGAATTATAACACATTTTAAGCCTAAAATCAGCTAAATCTGTTGAAAATTCAAGGAGTTATGGGCATTTGAAAGATTTGAAATTCGAAAAAATGATTTTGAGTCATAACTTTTTTATTTTTCTATCGAATTTTGAAAATTCATTGATTTTCAAATTTCTGACGTTTTTAGCTTCAAAATGAGTATAAACATGCCTAGGTTTGGGTCCCACCGCATAGTTCCCAAAATTTTAAAGACGCATACCGTAATCTCGTGGTGAGACCCGTTTTCCGTGCAAACCTAGGCATGTTTATGCTCATTTTAAAGCTCTCAACCAGCTGAATTCAAATTTTGTGTGAAAAAAATCAAAATTCACAGGATTTTCGCTGAGAAATCTGGAAAAAAAAATTTTCGAAAAAAAATTTTTTTTTGGAAATTTCATTTTTTTTTTTGATATTCAAAAAAACATGGTGTTTCTAAAGATAATTTAAGGGATTCAAAATCCTATAATTATTGAATTTGATGGTAATTACACACCGATTATCACATACCAGTGACCTGGATAATTAAAAACACAGAAATCTCATTTTCGATTTCTTTCACTTTTCCCGATTTTCTCATTTTCCCCAGAAATTTCCGTTTAGTTTCTTCACTTTTTAATGATTAAATTCTTAGAAATTGTGAGAATTTCAGATTTTCAGAAAATCCTAAATTTTGGAATTTCCAAATTTTCAAAAAATCTAATTTTCAAAATTTTTAAATTTAGAAATTCCCGAAAATCCGAATTTTTTTAATTATAAAAATAGGTTTTTTCGAAATTTCAGAAACTCTGAAAATCTTAAATTTTGAAAATCTGAAATTCTGATTTCAAAGAGTTCAGAATCAGAATAACAGAATTTTTTTCAAATTTCTGAGTTTCTGAGTTTTCGAATTTCAGATATTCTGAAATTCTGACTGTCAGAACTTTTGGGATATTCAAAATTCTGGAAATCTCAAATTTTCGAAATTTCCATAATTTCCAGATCCCTCAAAAATGCCCTTCTACCCATTGCTCATCCTTGTCCTCTCCCAAGTCCATCATTGCTCATCCTGCATGTCAACGCGTACAGTATCCAGTATCCCCGCGCTTCGAAATTGTCCATCTTGTGATGTCTCCACCCTATCCGGATCCTCTTTCACCCCAACCGCTACCCAAACCCCAGGGACCGCCTATTTTTTGAGAGGTGTGGACCCGGTGAACTGGTAATTTTATCGAATTTTTTTATAATTGGAAAATAAAAAACGTTTTTGACATTTTGAGCCTAAAATCAGCAAATTCCGATCAAAATGAAGGGAGTTATGGGCATTTTAAATTTCTGAAAAATTGAAAATATTTCAAAAATTTTTTTGGACCGTAACTTTTTTATTTTCGATCAGACTTGTTAAATTATTTGATTTTTTGATTTCTCATGTTTTGAGCTTTCAAATGAGCCCCCACAAGACTAGGTTCGGCCAATTTCGGATTAGGCTCCGCACACCTTTGGGTCCCGCCACGAAAGCTCGGGAGGGGGGCAGAGCCTAGTCGTGTGGGGGCTCATTTTGAAGCTCTCGACTTGACAACATCAAAAATTTTAACTATTTTCAATATGGATAAGAATTCGAATAGTTAAAATCGAAATAAAAAAAATTCGAAAAAAAATTTTTTTGGAAAATTTGATTTTTAAGAATTTTTAACGAAAAACTCAAAAAACTTTAAGTTTTTCAACGCAAATTTTGATTTCAGCTTGTTGAAAGCTTCAAAATGAGTATAAACGTGCCTTGGTTTGCTGAAAAACGGGTCTCACCACGAGATTACGGTATGCGCCTTTAAAATTTTGGGAACTATGCGGTGGGACTCAAACCTAGGCATGTTTATACTCATTTTGAAGCTAAAAACGTCATAATTCTGAAAATCAATGAATTTTCAAAATCCGATAGAAAATAAAAAAGTTATGGTCAAAAAGATTTTTCGAAAAAAAATTGAATATTTTCAAATGCCCATAACTCGCTTAATTTTTAATGGATTTTTTTGATTTTAGACTTAAAATGTCTGAAATTTTGTGAATTTTAATACAGTACACAGATTTTATAAAAATTCTGCAAAATTTGTACAAAATTCAGGTGCGACGTGGCCCAAATCAATTGCATCCCCGAGGATGGAAGTCGGCAGACAGTTGCCATTAATGTTATTGTGGTAACTTTAAAATTTTTTTGGTTTGGCGCGAAATTCGAATTTTTTGAAGGATTCCGTGAGCACGCAACTGGCAACCGGCTGTGCTAGTGCGAATTCTGTGGCAAACGCGCTCCTCTGCAGTACTGGAAATGTTTGGACCTATAAGTGAGTGAAATATTTTGTAAGACTAATGGAATTTATTTCATAAATAATGAACAAAACATTTCAAACATTTTGAGCTAAAAATCAGCAAAATCCGTTGAAAATGAAGCGAGTTATGGGGATTTGAAGTTTTTGAAATTTTTCATATTTTTGATCGTAACTTTATATTTTTGATCGTAACTTTTTTATTTTTCATCGGATTTTCAAAAAATTGTGATTTTCAAATTTCTGACATTTAGAGCTTTAAAATGAATATAAACAAGCCTAGGTTTGGGTCCCACCGCGAAATTCCCAACTAATTTAAATGCGCATACCGTAATCTCGTGGTGAAACCCATTTTTCAGCAAACCTAAGCTTGTTTGCAATCATTTTGAAGCTCTTAACAAGCTTTATTCAAATTTTGTATCATTGTGAAGGTTTTTCTAGAAAAATCTAGAAAAAAAACTATTTTACAGAATTTTTTTTCGAGAAAAATGTATTTTGATCATAACTTCTTAATTGCATTCCCATCCTTTCTGAACACTCAATTTTTGATGTTGTCAAGTCGAGAGCTTCAAAATGAGCCCCCACACGACTAGGCTCCGCCCCCCTCCCGAGCTTTCGTGGCGGGACCCAAAGTGGGCGGAGCCTAATACCAAAATGAGCGGAGCCTAGGCGTGTTTAGGCTCATTTTGAAGCTCATGACAAGCTGAGCAGAACTACAATCTCAAATTATAAAAATACTGACTTTTAAAAAAGTTATATCGATTTTTAACTTTTTCAATGTTTTCAGCGGTCGATCAGATTTCACTGTGGAATGTCGAGTGACAACTGGGTCGACTTGTTAACTTCATTTTTATTTTTTATTTTTAAATTTAATAACTTTCTTATAAGGGGCGGAGCTTAATGATAATAACAAAAATAATACAATTATTCGTTTTTCACTTTTTCCAATTTCTCAAAAAATTTCAAAAAATACCAAATCACATAAACAATATAAGAAGAGCCCAAAATGTGCAAAAAATTGAGTGCTAGAACGAAAATGTGCATTTCTGAGAGCCTCATCATTGGAAGCAACAAAATGAACGGAATTATCGAGGTGTAAATTGGGGTGATTAGGAAATTTAGGATTTTCGAGCTGTAGAACTTTCCAGAAATCGATTTGATTACGGTTGGGATGTCGATTAATCTGAAATTAAATTTCTGACATTTTAAGCCTAAAATCAGAAAAATCCGTTAAAAATGAAGCGAGTTATAGGCCTTTGAAAATTTTGAAAATTTCGAAAAACTTATTTTGAGTCATAACTTTTTTATATTATCATCGGATTCTGAGAATTTATTGATTTTTGAATTTGTTGTGTTAAGAGCTTCAAAATAAGTACAAACAAGCCTAGGTTTGCTGGAAATTGGGTCTTATCGCGAAATTACGGTATGCGCTTTTAAAATTTGGGGAATTTCGCGGTGGGACCCAAACATAGGCATTTTTATACTTATTTTGAAGCTCTCAACAAGCTGAGTTCAAATTTTCTGTTTACACCATAAAGTTCTCGAGCTTTTTCTAGAAAAATCTGAAAAAATAAAAAAATTTCGGAAAAAAATTTTGTTTTTTGATCTTAACTTTTTATTTTTCATCGGATTCAAAATATTTCTTGTTTTTTGAATTTGTTGTGTTAAGAGCTTCAAAATGAGTATAAACAAGCCCAGGTTTGGATCCCACCGCGAAATTCCAAAAATTTAAAGGCGCATACCGTAATTTCGCGGTGGGACCCAAACATAGGCATGTTTATACTCATTTTGAAGCTCTCAACAAGCTGAGTTCAAATTTCCTGTTAAAAAATTGAAGATTCTCTTTTTTTTCAGAACAATTTCAGAAAAATCTGGAAAAAAATTTTTTTTCGAAAAAAACATTTTTTGCGGCAATTTTACCTCATAAAAAGAATCAAAAAGATTGTGAAAACCAGCGAAAACTCTCCAAGACCATATCCTTGGTGTGGTGGCCAGAAACGAGTCATTTTTTGAATTGTGCTCAAATCACGAGCCGCCCGTCCAGCAGAATGGAAATATGGGTTCGCGGTGAAGAACTGAAATTTTTTTAGAAGCTAAATTTTTGGATTCTTCCTTTTTTTCCTGAAAAATCAATCTATTTCGCGAATTTTCCTTTTTTTTCATTTTTAAAACCTTGAAATTTGAATTTTGAATTTCCCGCTGAAAATTCCTTCTGGGCATTTTTGGGCGCCGGTGTTTGCACAACTTGCAGCGAGCTTCACGAGCAAACGTTTTTTAATTTTTAAAAGTTATTTTTCAGCTTTTCTGGGTCATTTTTCTTCGTTTTTCATCAATATTTGTTGGTTTTTAATGAAAAATGAACATTTTTCTGCTATTTTTTGTTACCTGAACCAATTGAAGAGTCCTCTCGCGGCTGAAAAGCCAGTGAGAAAATTGATGGATCAGAAATGTTGCCAGAGGGATTCTCACCAATAAATTGATGATATTTTTGCAGGAAAAGTGTGCTGGAAGAGAAGAAAATGGGGATTTTTAGGGATTTTTAGGGGGTTTACCTCGGAAATTTGGCATTTTTCGAAAAAAATTGTTTTTTTCCAAAAAATAAATTTGAAAGAATAAAAAAAGATTTGCAGGTTCTCAGAGAATAAAGTTTTCTTCTTCTTCTTCTTCGTTTTCTGCGCGCAAACGCGTCGTCTTCCTTCGCCTTGACCTCGTTCTCAAGTCCCCTTTCCCCTTTTTCCCTAATTCTCTCTTCTCTCTTTTTTTTTGTACCGCGCAAATTGTAACCCATTTATCTGTATCATCTTTTCCTTTTTTTTTGGGCGGTGCGGATTTTTTTATCTTTATAAATTTGAAAAAAACATTTTTTTTTTGCATAATTTGTATTTTGCGGGATTTTAGGCCTAAAAAGTCGATTTTCACCACTTATACGACCATAAAAGCGTCGAAAAGTGTGATTTTCGACCCTATAACCCCCAAAAAACTCCTATTTTCAGTCAAAAATCCATAATTTTCAGCCCGAAACCCTAATTTCCGAGTCTCCCAGCTTCTCCTCGAGGAGTCCACGACCGCGATCGTGGTGGGACCCGGCGCCAACGAGTCAAGCCTATTTGCACAAGTTTTTTGCATTGTTCTCAACGAATTTTCCACTTTTTAGGTTTATTCTTTGGATTACTAGGTAGAGAAAATTTTTCTACATCTTTTGATACCCAATTGCAGTGGTTTTTAGTTTAATTTGGCCTGGAAAATGGGATTTTTCAATTTTTTTTTGAAATTTTGAAATTTTCTGGTTTTAGACACAATCCTAGATTATTTTTGAGTCGAAAAACTTTGAAAATCGATTTTTTCAAGCCAGAAAAGTGCAAAGTCCCCGAATCGCTTATCAGTGCTGTCTTGACCGCGTTTTGCCTATTTTATAGTGTAAAAAGTTTTTCAGAGAAAATTGGCAAAATTTGGGCTATTTTCGGCAATATTGAGCCAATTTTAGGGTTTTTAGGTCAAAAAAGGAATTTTTCGGCTGAAAAACTCAGTTTTTTGAGTTTTAGAGCCATTTTTTGCATTGAATTGCAGAAATTTAGGTCAATTTTTCCTACTAAAAACGATCCAAAAATGGCAAAAAAAAACCGATTTTTCGAGTTTTTTTCCGGAAAATTCTGGGCAATTTTTTTTGAAAATCACTCAAAAAATTAGAAAATTAGTGAAAAACCGCTGAAAAATGTCATTTTTCGACTAAAATTTGGTCGATTTTCAGTCATATTTTTTGAAAAAAATTGTAGAAAAAACAATGGCTGAAATTTGCCATTTTTTGGCTAGAAAAATCAATGAAAATCGCCAATTTTTTAAAGCCAATTTTCAAATTTTTTGGCCTTTTTTTTGCCTAAAAATGGACAAAAAATCAGATTTTGGTCAAATTTTTCTAGGTAATTTTTCCCATTTTTCCTCCTAGAAATGGTCCAAAACAGCCAATTTTCCAGATTTTTCGGGCCATTTTTCCTCTTAAAACTGACCAATTTTTGCTCTTTTCCGCCTTTATCACACCCTGCATCACCTCGTTTTCCCCACTTTTTTGGCAAAAAATCTGATCAAACACATTGCGTGTGACCCCCTCTCTTCTCTCTATTATCACCAGTTTTTCGCTGTATTCTCCGCCACATTTTGCCATATTTTTCCAGCTCAAACGATCGTTCTTCGCAGTTTCGAGAGCTAAAACAGTTGGTTTCAGCCGTTTTTAGGCATTTTTAGCGCTAAAAATCGATTTTTAAGGTGGAAAATTGGCTTCTGGGCGATTTTTAAGTCAGAAAAATCGCTAAAAATTCGATTTTTAACATCTGAAAAGCACGATTTTTGACCTGAAAATTGACTATTTTGAGTCGGTTTTCACCGATTTTTCGCCATTTTTTTGGGCATTCTTAGCTCAAAAATCGATTTTTAACAGCTGAAAAATTGAATTTTGACCTGAAAATCGACTGTTTTACTGTTTTTTGCCACTATTCATTCAATTTTTAGCTGAAAAATCGCATTTTTCGCCGTTTTTCACCGATTAAAACCGATTTTTTGCCAATTTTAGGACATTTTGAGCTGTTTTTAACCATTTTAGCCATTTTTGAACACGAAATTTGGCTGAAAATTGTATTTTTAAGGTCAGAAAAGCTAGATTTTTTATTGAAAAAAGGTCAATTTTTACCGATTTTCACCAAATTTTTCCTATTTTTAGCTGATTTTAGCCAATTTTACACCGTTTTTGGGTCATTTTAAAGCTATTTTCAATCATTCAAACCATTGTTTGGCCCAAATTGACGCCAAAAATAGCTTAAAAATCGATTTTTTAGCTGAAAATTGGCCTCTGAAGATTTTCTCTATTTTTAGTCAATTTCAAGCCATTTCGGGTCATTTTGAAGCTATTTTTTACCGATTTTTCGCGGATTTTCATCATTTTTTAACGAATTTTCACTATTTTAAGCCATTTTGCAGCCATGGGAGTGCCAAAAACGCAACCAGCTGCCCAGCCAGCAGTCACTCCATCCACTGGACCATCGGAAACTCTGGCACGTGGCATTCGAGCCATTTTCATCGGACCACCCGGATCGGGAAAGGGAACGCAGGCGCCGGCGTTCGCTTCGAAATACTTCTCGTGCCATTTGGCTACTGGTTAGTTAGAAACATAGAAAATTGCATACTTGTAAAATTCCGGGGCGGGCCGGGCCTGAGGAAAAAGATCGAAAAAACTCGAAAAAAATGACATAAGGGTCCCCCCTTATGTGTTTTTTGAAATTTTCAAAACTTGTGACATGACGGGCCCGGGCCGGGCCTTTGAAATTCGGAAAAAAAACGCCAGGCCCGGCGGCCCGGCCCGTTACAAGTATGAAAAATCGCAGGTTTTTGAGAATAAAATTGATGAAAAAAGCCGAAATTCGGCCTAATTTCGCACCAAAAATTGACTGAAAAATAGCAAAATTTCAACCTGAAAAATACCTTTTGCATCGCAAAAATGGTCAAAAATCGTCGGAAAATGCAGTGAAAAATAGCCAATTATAACGACTAATCGATGAAAAATACCCCGAAATCGACAAAAAAAAATTTAAAAGGTGTCGATTTTTGGTGAAAAATGCTCGAATAATAGACAATTTCAGGCCATAAATCGCTGAAATAGCGGAATTCGGGACTAACCTATTTTTGAGCCGAAAATGTCTGAAAAGTCGATTTTTCACCGATTTTTACACTCAAAATGGTTGTTAAATAACGAAATTTGGCTTGAAAAGAACCAAATATCGCCTAAAAATTGGATTTTCAGCTTGAAAATCGCTGTAAAATGGCGAATTTTGATGTCAAAATGTCGATTTTTGTCTGAAAGTGACCATTTTTCAAGTCGAAATCGCCTAAAAACTCTATTTTTCTGGAAAAATGACTATAAATCACTGAAAAATGCCGGGATTTCGGCCTAAAAATCGCCTAAAAATGCGCTGAAAAATGCCGAATTTTGGACTAAAAATGACAAAAAATCGCCTGAAAAATTTCTGAAAATCTCCAAAAATTTCGATAAAAATGTCGAAATTTTTTGTTGAAAAATACCCAAATTTGGCCTTAAAATTTGATTTTCCATGTATTTTCGTCCTAAAAATGTCTCAAATAGCTGAAAATCGCTGAAAACTCTTCTTTTCCAATAAAAACCGCCAAAAAATTCGATTTTTCAACTAGTTTAACCTCAAAAATGACAGAAAAATAGCCTATTTTTTCAGCTATTAATCGCTGAAAAATGGCCACAAAACGGCCGATTTTGACCCAAAAATAAGCGAAAAATCCCAAATTTTTGGAAATTTTAGCGATTTTCCCACCAAAATTACCTCAAAAAACCGATTTTTGACCGATTTCTTCCTCCTATTTTCCACCCCAAAAATGACATTTTCCAGGTGACCTGCTCCGCGCGGAAGTCGCCTCGGGCTCCGAGTTCGGAAAACAGCTGAAAGCGACGATGGACGCCGGAAAGCTCGTCAGCGACGACGTCGTCTGTAAGCTCATCGAGCAGAAGCTGGAGAAGCCCGAGTGCAAGTACGGATTCATTCTTGACGGATTCCCACGTACTAGTGGACAGGCTGAGAAGGTACTTTGAGGGGGGAATAGCAGGGGAAAATGGTTGAAAATAGTCTGAAGATGAGCTAGAAATTGCCGAAAATGATCCCTAAAAATGATTCTAAAAGTGTTTTAAAAATGACGATTGTCACCGAAGTAACGTTGGAATCGCTTGAAATAGAGCCTAAAATTGAAGCTGTAACATGTTAAAATGGTCGAATTTGGCCTAAAAATGACCCAAATCGGCTGAAAAACTGCTGAAAGTTGTGCCAAAAAATCGGCTGAGAACTCACTGAAAATGACCCAAAAATGGCTAATTAAAGCCTAAAAATTGCCTTAAAATGAGGAAAATCAACACAGAAAACAAGGATAATTTGACCCGCAAAAAGCCTTTTTTAACCTTAAAAATGGACCTAGTTTGGCCTTAAAAGAGCTTACATAGGACCTAAATGATAGCATGATTTCCATTAAAAAAGGCCTAAATTAGGCCTGAAAATCGTACTTTTCGATCTAAAAAGACCAGGAAAAACGCTAAATTCGACCATAAAATACGCTATTTTCACCTAGAAGCTGAAATTGACTCTAAAACCGACCAAAAATGACCAATTTGGCACTAAAAATGGCCTAAAAATGCCAATTTTGACCCAGAAAACGCTGAATTTGAGAAAAAAAAGCAATTTTTGACCTAGAAAATGAACCTAATTGGACTCAAATTTAGCCTATTTTTCATTCAAAAAATCCAAATTTTGACGCTGAAAATGACCTATTACCCTATAAAAGGCTAAATTTGGCACTAAAAACGACTATTTGACTGTAAAAGCGGCCGAAAATGACCAATTTGACGCTGAAAATGACTTGAAAATGCCATTTTTGACCCAGAAAATAAATCTAATTTGACCTAAGAACAGCTCATTTCCACCTAAAAACCAAATTTGACACTGAAAATGGCCAAAAATGCCATTTTTGACCTAGAAAATGAACCTAATTTGACTCAAAAAGTGCCTAAAAACGACCGTTTTTACGCTGAAAATGACCTAAAAGTCCACCTAAACTACTCTTTTTTGCAGCTCGACGAGATTCTCGAACGCCGAAAGACCCCGTTGGACACTGTCGTTGAGTTCAACATTGCCGACGATTTGCTCGTCCGCCGGATCACTGGCCGCCTGTTCCATATCGCCTCCGGCCGAAGCTATCATTTGGAATTCAAACCACCAAAGGTGCCGATGAAGGACGATCTCACTGGAGAGCCCCTCATCCGTCGATCCGACGATAATGAGGAGACGTTGAGAAAGCGATTGGTTCAGTACCATCAAATGGTGAGGGGGATCATGGGGGGAAATAGTATATTTTTGTCCTGAAATAGCTGAAAATGACTCCCAAAAATTTAGAATTTTGGCTTGAAATTGCTGAAAATGACCCATTTTGATAGAAATTTGACATTGAAACAGCTTCATGTGAGGCAAAAATGACTAAAAAATAGGTAAAAAATGCCCCAAAAGTGCCAAAATATCCCAAATTTGGCCATTTTCAGACAGATTTGACGCTGAAAATGACCCAAATTTTGACTTGAAACGAAAAATCGCTGAAAATGTCCTACTTTCATTGGAATTTGACATTGAAAAGTGCCAATTTTTGACCTGAAAATAGCAAAAAATACCCCAAAAAGAGCTCAAATTGGCCTAAAATGACTAAAAATGACTTAAAAATCCATTTTGAACTGAAAATTTGAACTGAAAATTTGAATTGAAAATTGCTGAAAACAGCATATTTTTGAGGAAATTTGGCTTTAAAATCGCAAATTTTGGCTGAAAATGACCGGAATTGGCCTAAAACAACCCCCCAATTTGACCGAAAACACCGTTAAAAATATCCTAGAAACCCCAAAATCGACCTAATTACCCCCCAATTACCCCTAATTACCCTCATTTCCAGACTGGCCTATGTCGGTGTAAAAATATGGAAAATTAGAGCTTAAAATTGATGGAAATAGCCCTTTTTGATGGAAATTTGACATCGAAAATGGGCAATTTTTGACCTGAAAATAGCTGCAAAAATGGCTAAAAACAACTTCATTTCTGCCTAAAATAGCTCAAAAATACCCTAGAAACCCCCTAAAAAGCTCAAAATTTACCAATTTTCGGCTCAATAAAACCCCTCAAAATCGATCTGATTTCCCTAATTACCCTAATTATCCCCCTATATTTTCAGACAGTGCCACTCGTCGACTACTACCAAAATTTCGGCTTCAAATAACTTGAAAATACTCCAAAAAGAGCTTAAATTGACCTTGAAAAACCCTAAATTAAGACCAAAAATGGTCTAAATTGGCCTAAAACAGCGCGAATTTGATCTGAAATAGCCTTGAAAACACCCTGAAAACCTCAAAAAACGCCCGAAATTGACCTAATTACCCCTAATTACCCCTCTCTATTTCCAGACTGTGCCACTCGTCGACTACTACCAGAAGCACGGTGTGCACGTGAAAGTGGACGCGGCGAAGCCAATGGCCGATGTGAAGGCTCACATCGATTCGGTGTTCGCCAAATTCACCCAGAAGAAGGTATAGACGAATTTAGTGAACTCTCTTTGAAATGACATTAAAAAAAGACATTAATTTTATTGGAATAAAGATGTGAAGGATTGAAAAAATATGGCTGAAAATGCTGAAAATTTGGCTAAAAACGGTCCATTTTGACCTGAAAAAGGACCATTTTTGGGCTTAAAATGGCCATTTTTAACTGAAAAAAGACCGATTTTAACTTTTTTTAAAATCTGAAATAAGCTATTTTTGACATTTAAATAACCAATTTTTGGCCTGAAAAATGGCCTTTTTGACCTGGAGTAGGCCTTTTATGATCTAAAAAGTGCCGATTTCGACCTAGAAAAAGTCATTTTTGAGCTGAAATAGGTCCATTTTGATATAAAAGAAAGCTTATTATGGCCTTAAAAAGGCCTATTTTGACCTAAAACCGGGATTTTTTTTAACTGAAAACAGCCATTTTGACCTAAAAATCGGTGTTTTTCACCTAACAAATGTCCTTTTTGACCAGGAAACGGCCCAGTTTGACTCAAAAATAGCCCATGTTGGCCTGAAAAAGGTCATTTTGACCAGAAAAAGAGTCTATTTGACCTTAAAAAGTCTCATTGGGACCTGAAGAGGGCCTATTTTCACTAGAAAAGGGCCTATTTTGACCGGAAAGAGCCCTTTTTGGCATAAAAAGGCCTGATTCGGACCAAATTTGGCCTAGAAACGTCAGATTTGACCCAAAAGTGGCCTGAAAATAGGTCTGTTTTAGCCTTAAAACGGGTCCCTTAGGCTTAAAATGGCCTTTTTGACCGGAAAAAGGCCTTTTTTCAGGCCTAGAAATGTCAAATTTGACCTAAAAGGGCCTGAAAATAGGCCTATTTTTGACTGAAAATCACTGATTTTTAGTTGAAAATTTGCAAAATTTCTGGTCTGAAAACCCCTAAAAATGTTGAAAAATCGGGGAAAAAACCAAGATTTTCGAAAAAAAACTCAAATTTCAGTCAAAAAAAAAACGCTGAAAAACGCTGTAAATCAAGATTGTTTGGGATAAAATTTCCTTGAAAATTCGATTTTTTACCTATTTTTCAGTCTAAAATATCGCTGAAAATCTCATTTTTCCAGTTAGAAAGCACAAAAATTGGTGGAAAAAGTTAAAAATTCAAGATTTTTGGAATAAAAAATTCCAAAAAAGTCGCTGAAAATCCAATTTTTAACCCAAAATCTCAATTTTCCAGGATCGCGTCGCTTTCGTCTAACTTCCCAGCACCACCACCACCACTATAGGCACATCCCAAAGAAGAATTCATTTTTCCTATCGTCACACAATTTTTTTCTCGTTTTTCAGTAATTTTTAGCTTGTTTCCCCCCCCCCCCCCCTTTTTAGGCGTATTTTCATGGTTTTTGTGTCCCCGTTCCCATCCTGTGAGCATTTTTCTCTTGAAAATCTCTTTAAGTCGCCAATTTTCATTCCTTTTCAATAAATTTTCTGGATTTTTCAGGATTTTTCACCACGAAATGGCTTTTTAGGCGAAAAAATGATGAAAAATGGGTGAAACTAATTGAAAAAATGAGAATGATGCAAGCGCGCTCCGCTGCACACACGGAAGATTTTGAGAATTTGCGCGCGAATTTGAAAAGGTTTTTCGATTTTTTTTTTGGAATTTCAGCGATTTTTAGGTCAGTTTTCGGGATTTTTGAGCTAATTTTTATCGATTTAAATGATAATTTTGACTATTTACCACTTTTTCAGGAATTTTCTGAAATTTTTTAAAATTTTTGAAAAAAAAATCTGAAAAAATAATTTTCCTGAAATTTTTTTTTGAATTTTATTTCTGAAATTTTAAAGTTTTATTTTTCTTAAATTCTTTAGAAATTTTCAGCTTTTTTTTCGGAAAAATTCGTCATTTTCCGCCTCGATTTATATTGCGAAATATTACACCCCGGCAGCCGGGGAAAAGGGGGCGGAGCCTAAATTTATTTTTCAGAATTTTAGCTGTTTTTTGGATTTTTGAAGGTTTTTCAGTTATTTTTTTATATGTTTCCCATTTTTTTTCCAGTTTTTTCTAGAATTTTGAATTTCAGAAAATTCTTTAAAAATGGTATTTGGATATTTTTCAACTACAGTATGCCCACCGGCACTGATTTTCATGGGGCAGCATCAGGAGGAGAATGAGAGATTGCTGAAAGTAAGAAATCTGAATTTTTGTAAAAAAAAATTTTTTTTGAAAATTTTCAGATTTTCAGCCAAAAAATCTGGAAACTTGAATTTGTTGAGAAAATTTTTTTTTTGAAATTTTTAGATTTTTACAAAATTCTAGCCAACCGACAAAACTGTAAAATTTTCTGCAAAATCTAAAATTTTGACAAAAAAAATTTCTGAAATTTCGATTTTCAGGAAGGACTTCCAGACGACGTCTGGTTCCACGTCGACAAGGTGCCTTCGGCACATGTCTATCTTCAAATGCCTCGTGGCATTACAATAGACACAATTCCAGAAGAATTGGTAATTTTTCTGAAATTTCAGATTTTTCAAAAAATTCAAATTTCCTGCCAAACCATTCATCTTGCAGCTCGACGACTGCTGTCAACTGGTGAAAGCCAATTCGAAAATTGGGAAAAAAATGGACAAAGCTACAGTAGTCTACACGAAAAGGGAGAATTTGAAAAAGACGAAAATGATGGATTCGGGAGAGGCGAGGAAATCTGAAATTCGAAAAATCCGAAAAAAATGAAAATTCAGAATTTTAAAAAAATTGTGAAATTCTGAATTTTCAAAAATTTCAAAAATACAAAATTTTCTGAATTTCAGTTTTTGGAATTTTAAATTTGAGATTTTTTTTGGATTTTTGAATTTCTGGAATGTCTCGAATTTCGAATTTTCGAAGTATTGAATTTCAGAATTTGAGATTTTTCAATATTTTTGGAATTATCAGTGATTTTCTAAAATTCTGAAGTTATCGAAATTTTCAGAATTTGGGATTCTGGAATTTTTCGAAATTCCAAAAATTCAGAATTTGTGACCCAGGACCCATGAACCCATGAACCCAGGAACCCATGAACCCAGGAACCCATGAACCCATGAACCCATGAACCCATGAACCCATGAACCCATGAACCCATGAACCCATGAACCCAGGAATCCAGGGACTCAGGGGCCCAGGATCCAGGACCCATTTTTTGCAATTCTTCGAATATCCAGAATTTTCTAAAATTTTCAAAATCTGAGGTTTTACGAATTTTCCCGAAATATTTTATTTTCGGAATTTTCACATTTCTTGGTTCTCAGAAGTCTGAAATTTTCAAAATATCGATTTTTCAAAAAATCAATTTTTTAGGTCGGATTTCACAACTCGAAAATGGTGAATTCTCGAATAATTCTAAAAAAGAATTCTGCTGAAATTTTGAATCGTCTGGAAAAAACTCGATGGAAATCTTAGAATTTTTTTCTGGAATTTCGGGAAATCTGGAACTTCTGGACATCTGGAAATGGAAATCTGGAAGGAAAAATTGGAAACATTGGATTTTTTCAAATTTCAAATTTTTTACATAATTCCGATTTTTGAGATTAATAAAGATGTTTTTGATTCCAATAATTAAAATTCCCACCGAATTTCGAAAAACTACAGTACCCCTATCCCCCTGGATCACACATTTTCTGCCTTTCAGAGTCATATGTCCCTCCTCCCCTTTCTGATACAAATCTCGTTTTTTCTTGTTTCCCGGAGAGGCAAAGGACCATTTTAATCTCGGAATCTGATCTCCGATGTATATTCTTCACACAGTACAATGAGATCAAATCGGGTCTACTGTCTTATATGTTGGCATTTTCGGCCTTTTTTCCCTGAATTTTGGACTTTGTTCTGTGGATTTTATGGGATATGTGTTGGAAAATTGATCATAACTTTTTGGAAAATCAAAAATTTTGAAAAATTCAAAAAAGACGTGATAGAGCTTGAAAAGTTCTACAAAATAATATAAATTTTAATTTACTTTTGGATACCTAGACTTTCCTACTGTAGCATCAAAACTGCTGGTGGTGAGCAGCGCGATTCAACTACGTAGCGCCACCATGCTTTGGGAAATTGGTCATAACTTTTTGGAAAATCAATATTTCTGGAAAAATCAAAAAAGATATTATAGAGCTTTGAAAGTTCTATTAAAATTATATAAATTTTAATTTACTTTTGGATACCTAGACTTTCCTACTGTAGCATCAAAACTGCTGGTGGTGAGCAGCGCGATTCAGCTAGGTAACGCCATCATGTCTTGGAAAAATGGCTTCAACTTTCTTGAAAATTGGAATTTTTGAAACATTCGAAATTGATAAGATAGAACTTAGAAAGTTCCACAAAATAATATATAATGTAACACACTTAAAAAACGAACCATTTCTCTACAGAGCCGCAAAATCGCCTAGTAGCGCGTCTTTAGTCGCTTTTTCTGGAAAATTCTGTATTTTGAAGTATACCAAGTTTTATATACTTTTGTAGAACTTTTCAAGCTCTACATTTTCCTTTTCGAATTTTTTTAAAATTTTGATTTCGAAGAAAGTTATGGCAAAATTTCGAGAATTCATTTTTTTTTTCTACGATTTCTGTTATTTTAATCATTGTTCCGAAGGTGTAAATTAGCCACTTAAGGGTCATTAAGACACTTGAACTTTGAAATACAATTTTAAAGTCTTCAGGACAAAAATTTTGAACAGAAAACAAGACATAAACCATGGTTTTTGTGTTTGTTCCTCTTTTTTCAAATTTCTAGTTCTAACTTTTCAAAAAAAAACTATTTTGAACCCGGTTATCTCAAATCCTATAAAAAATACTGAAAAGTAGTCAACTACAAAAATGTGTGAAATTTTGAGAACTACATTTTTGTAGTTTTCAACTTTTTTGTAGCTTTTTTTAGTTTTTG